TGACCTAAATAATAATCCATCCTGCTCACGGACCCCCAAGTCCTCCAGAGCCGGGTCCTGTTTGTGTCCCACTGCTTACTTCACATCTCCCTCAGCAGCCTTTTCCAGCATTACTTTCAACAAAAGGTGAGCAGTTTGAATTTTTAATCTGAATTTAATATCAGTGTCTCTGATTTTATATGCATTAAAGTTGGTCACAAATGTCAAATCTGTAAAGCAGCACTGTCTGGTTAAATATTTCAATTTATCCTAGCAAACTTGAAGCATTTTATTATAGTTTTTTTAGTAGACAGACAAAGTAATTTTAAGCCTCAGTTTTGTACTATATAATGGCCGTTAAGCAAACGACAGGAGCTAGAAAGGTGGCTATCATCATCCATTTTGTGAGGGAACGTGCTCAGATATATATATATAGTTAGCGCTTTATTATTTTTGGTTTATTATTTATCTTTTCCTTCCACTCTGTGACATTGAGCAGTACAGAATGTGAAATATTTATGTTCACTTTCATTGCAATAAACGACTGTTTTCAGAGGTATAACATTTAAAATACGTAACGTCGGTACATGTATTCCGTTACTCCCCAACACTGGTAATAAAGAAAACCAGAAACAATTTGGTGAATGCATTTAGGTTTTGGGAAGTTTTGCATTAGAGAGATTTGTGTATGAAAACCTGTAAATGGAAAGATGGCAGGATTTAATCTTTAGTTCAGTTTCATTTCCTTTTTATCAGAAACTGAAAGTGAGTCTTATTGTCGTACTCTTTCATTAAGAACATGACACTTTTTGCCTCCCGCAGGCTTCCTGACCTTGCTTTACGTGTGACTTTCCATAGCAGTTATTTTTCTGTTATCTGGACATGGCTATTTTATTGCATATTTTATGTGTTTAATCTTCACAGAGTTAAATATAAGCATCTTTTGACTATGCCTATCTATCTAAACAGCTCTTGAAGAAGGATAGTTATGCATCAACACCACTTCTTCATCTCCCCCAGCCCTTTTTTGTTTTCTGAGCTCTGCTTTTCCCTGCACACCCACTTTACTCTGTCTAGGTTTAGCGTTGTGTTATATGTAGAGATCCACTTTCACTTGCCTTTTGCCAAACAGTCAACTACACCTTTTGCAAAACCGAGTCTCAGTTTTGTTTTTGGACTTTTACTTTTTGCTAGATTTTTCTTTTCACCCTGTTCCAGTGTGTGCCTCCCTGCATTTTGTTGTTGTTGTTTTTTTACTTCTCTTATTGTCAGAAGAAGAAGGATAGTCAGATCCTGTTATTGTGCTTTGTCAACAATGTGTGTTTCTGATGAAATAGTACATGAGAATAATCTGAATAAGTTGAAACAGCACCTCTGTTTGTCATCAAACTCATTGTTGCTGTTGTAAGTGATGTAACTTTTTCTTCTTTGTTATTTTTATTGAATTTATTATTATTCATTTTTGCAAAGTTTTTTTTGTTTTTCTTTCTTTACTTGACCCCTTTAACTCATCTGAACTTTGACATACAGACAACAATGAACCAAGACAGTTTCTACATTTGACAAACATCCAGCCACTCTCGTCAGCCCTTCCTGCTTTTCTCATTCCCTGATCGGCAGATCAGGTTTTACTTTGTTTCTGACCATAGCTGGACTGGCCATTGGGCATTTGCCCAGTAGGCGGTGATTTTTCGTTTTTTGATGGGCAGATGGTTTTTTTGTTTGTTTGTTTGTTTTGTTTTGTTCTGTAACGGTATAAACAATGAAAGTTTATGGATTGGCCAAAGTGTCATGATAAACTCTGGGCTGGACCAATTACAGCCGAGGAGGTTGGATGCACCCTCGATCAATGATCAGCTGATCGTCTTTTCTGTCCCGTCTCTCTCGCTTGCCCACTTTGCGCCAGAAAGAGGAAACCAGCGGATGTCGAGCTAAACAATAGCAGCACGTTTAAGCTTGATCAGCTGTTGTTAGAATTGATTTAATATTACTTTCTAGTATCAGCTGATGTTTGCTGGAGCCACAGCTGTAAAACCTGCTGGTCATGATATCATATTTGAATATGTGGTGAGAGGGAAACATGAAGATGAAACCAGGAAATGTCCTTACTGAATCATCAGAGCTGAACAGGTGATGGAGAAACAGGTTTACCTTTTAGGTGACATGAATGAGTTGAAGGGAAGTTATGAACTGTTTCTGAGAGATAAATAACACCAGGATCCTTTGTAGCTGACAGCTGGTAACTGTGCAGGGGCGGACCTACAAAGTTTTGCCAGGGGGCCAGGTAGGGCATTAACAGGGAAATTCTCATTTAAAATGTCTGGTTTTTAATAAATAATTATCTGAATCTTACAAACAAAGTTTTCATCTGATGTAAAATGTATAAAAATCCATTATTGTATCTAGTAAATATTAAGTCTAATATATACTCTAATATGTAGTTTTTCCTTTTGAAGGTATCATCTGTGCAGTCTCAATTCTGTTGAAGAAATTGATCTATTTAATTATTGATAATGTGAATAATTGATTTCTGTGCATTTGTTTTTACATGTGCATTAAATTAAAGACGTTTGATCATTAACGCAGTCATGAGCGGCGGGTCGGCGGGGTGATCCCTATGTTTTGTTTTTTGGGGGTAGGTTCAACCTCTAGTCTTCTTGTTTAATTCAGTTTCCGTGTAAGCGAGGTTCGACAGAGTGACTTTAGGTATTTAGAATACCAGAATGGAGGGAGGATGGTGTAGGTTTAAGTTTATTAGATTGATACATATATACCAACAAGACAGTGTACATCACTGTGACAACAGTGTTTGTTTTCATTCAAAGGCTTTATGGTTTTTCTTATATAACCTGGTGGGCCGGTCTCTAGTCAAAATGCCCGGGCGGATTTTTTGTCCCAGTCCATGCCTGGCTGGACCCAGAGTGAAATTAATTTGTTATTTCTTATCTTTCATCTGAAAAGTGTCACTTACGTTAATACATACAGGTGACTTTGTTTTAGAACTTTTATGGTGCGCTAATTACATTAAATTTCAACATATCATTTTGTGGCAGGTTGTGGTTTAGCATCAGGTGAGGGGTAGAGCGAGTTCAGGTGACAGTGGCAGGGGAGGCTGGGAGAAAGAGCTGATGCCTGCCACGGTGTGAAACGAGTGGCTTCGAGTTGTGAACTAAATAAAAACTATTAGTGAAACGTGACGCAGAACTGTCTCCTTGTGTGTGTCATAACAGAGATCAGTAACAGAGTGATACAGTGGTGCCCAGCTTGCCGCTACGACATGTCAAACCCACCGAATCTACAGCAAGGTCGCGCACTGGCTCAAATGTTGGCCGACATGGCAGACTTGCAGCAGCAGCAGGCAGTACTGCAGCAGCAGCAGGCAGTATTGCACCAGCGGCAGACGCAGATGCTACAAAACCTTTTGCCTCAGTCTGGGGCCGCTGCGAATCCGCTCCACCTGGAACTCTCTCCAGAAGACCATCGTCGCCGCTTCCGTGGTTGCCGCATGGGACCACAAGAAGGGCCTTCGGCTTTTGCCCAGCAGCTCCTGTACGACGCGGGGAGGTGGCTGCATCCTGACCCGACACAAGGGGAGGCGCAGCTGCTGAAGGCTGTCGTTCTGGAGCAGTTTGTGGAGGGGCTCCCAAGGGAAATGGCGGACTGGGTCAAGTGTCGCAAGCCACCCAATCTGGAGGCGGCAGTGAGGCTGGCTGAAGAACACCTGGTGGCGCGGACGGAAAACCCCAGAACATCGCAGCCAGGGGAGGTGAGCATCTGCAAAAGAGTGATTTTTGATGTTTTGGTTTTTTAAGTCTAATATCTTTACTTATGTTAGTAAATACACTTTAGTCAACAGGGTTTATGAAGGGGTTGTATATAAAATAAAGAAATGATCTGTCTTCCAAGTATCTTTATGACTTTATGCGTATTTGTACCCATATTGTCATCAATCCAGTTCTTTTTGATTATAGAACTGTGATGTTATATTTGTTATTTCTGATGCCCTCTTGGCTAGCTCTCTCTTGAAAAAAACATTGTTATTGTCAGTTACGTTTTACCCTGATTTGATAGAAATGTTCTCTAAGTTACTTGATATTCGTCATGAGCGATATTTTTGACAGATTTTAAGTCAACAAGTAATTTATAACAGCTTAAATTCCTGCAGTAAATTTTTTGGCAAATGCTAGAAACCCCTTTTTGGCAGATGATCACTTTTTGGTACCCTACCGGCCCCAAGGAGCAAACTTTCCGTGCCTGTGCCAGTGACACTGACCATCGAGGACCACTGGCTACGCTCCAACAACCATTTCCTCTCTGCTTTCTATCCCCAGGTCCTGGCAGCGACAGGCGCTGTACCTGGCTCATTGGTGGCTGCACAGACACAGGGACAGGTGTGTGAGCAGTGTGGGGACCTGGGACATTTTCAACAGGAATGCCAGGAGGACGCCATGGAGGTGCAGCAGGTGTACAGTCTTACCGGGATGTCTACACCCAACTCTGGTCGAGGAGGGATGTACAGCGTTCTGGTAAGGTGCCAAGGGATTGTACGATAGGGAATTGGGGTTGCACGCAGACTACTCATTGTTGGAGGAGTTGGTGAAGGTTAGATGTGTGTATTAGTGGTGGGCAGGCACGTGCGAGAGGGGGGGGGGGCTTGAGCACCTGCCCCTTTCCTGATGGATTCCCCAAGTGCCCTTTTCTTGAGTATAATTTTTATTTATTTTTTATTTTTATTACTGTTTTTTGTTTATTTTTGTGTGCGTGTGGAGTCCTGTCTGTTCCCCTCAACAATAATATTTAACTATTAATCATAGTTTTGCTAAGTAAAAGGATGTGGTTTCCATCAGTCACATGACTACCATTAACCAATGATCGCCCTTGATGGCAGACCGCGCTGGTTACGAACCGGGAACGAACTCGCAAAGAGCACGAGCATTTTTTGCCATCTGAGCGGTGCAGAGCTGTAGGAGACTGATGCAACTAGGGTTGCCAACCGTCCCTTAAAAAACGGAATCGTCCCGTATTTAGAAACAAAAGTACACGTCCCGTATTGAGCTAATAAGGGACGCACTTTGTCCCGTAATACAGTGAGAATCAAAAGTAGTCTATAACTGTTAATGGAATTAACGCTTTGTTTGAAAACATAATTCCCAGCCCCTCTCCTGCTTTGTGACCAATGAGCTGACAGCACACTTATGACAATTCGAGTATGACAATTCAGATTACCGCTCATCTCATTGGTCGAGGAAAGGTCGCTTACGGAGAAAATACCGGAAGACAACAGATGACCACAACAAGAAGCATGGCCAACAGGGAAACAAACGCCGACACTGCGGTGCAAGTCTCGGACGACAGTACACCTAAAGCTGGGCAGACACTGTGCGATTTTTTTCAGTCACGTTATTCAGCTCCTGCTCAAACTGCACGATTGACTTCGCAGGGGTTAGAAGCTCGGTAGGTCACGATGCTCTGATGCGACCTGAGAGCTCACCCTGTGCGTCCATAAAATGAAGGTTATAGCAGAAAATCTGTCGCTCGCTCGCTCTCTCTGTCTTTCACTCACACAGACACACCACCACCATCAACTTTTCTAAATTGCTAATAAAAAACACTGATCAGGCAGCTGTGATTGAGCAGCAATGCAAATTCAACTATTTTCACGGTTGTTGTGGTCGTGATGATTTTGTGATGCCACATCGAAAAGGCTCGATGAGCTTTCCAAAAATGATCATTTGTTTCACACGTGTTCATATCACAAAGAATAGAATATGCATCTACTTAAATCAACTTCAAGTCAATGGTTAAAAAAATAATTTCACACACAAAAAAGAGCTAGAAAATTCACCACACTGGGAAGGGTGAAGACAACTGGGTCGCCCGGCCCTGGCCACGAGGTGTCCCTTATTTATTTTTCAGGGAGTTGGCAACCCTAGATGCAACAAAAGCCAGTAAGTAGGTGTACAGCGTACTCTTTAGTCTACAGTACACAGCAGTATTAGCTTATTTTATACACGTTGGTAAACTGTCTTGTGACAACTGACGAATTGAAACAAATGAGCGTGCTGTGTGTGTAACAGCGGGACAAACATTACCTGTCCTTTTATTAACTGCACAAGCAGTGCTGGTTTTAGCCACCAGCTAACTGGGTAACGCTGTCACGGGTCTGTAGCTCTGTCCACCGTTTTAGGGAACGTGTTTTGTATTAAAGTAAGTTACAGGGCGTTTTCCTGCCTTTCTGGAGGGCTTATATTTCACTAAAAACTATCTAATATACATGTCCACATAATTATGGTTCATTATAATTACAGTATTATGGAAAAACACTGTTTTAAAGGAAAGATATTAAACGGAATATATTAGATTTATATTTCAAATATGACAAAATGCTGATTTTACAGCAGCAACATTATTGTATCTCTACAGTTTAAGCATTTAATAGGCTTTCTGCCTGCACAGAGTAGATAGTCAAACAAACTGAATCATCATAAATACTTTATTATATATTTATTCTTTTTTTTTTTATTACTTTATTATTAGAGCGCTAGGAATAAACAATAAAGATTCTTGATCAGGACCATGATGCAAACATGTGGCCATAGTAGGATATATGCAGTATTCTGGAGACGGTATAAAATATCACTGTATGTGCCTGTGTACCTGTATGTATGTGTGCATATTTTATGTATATAGATTTTTTTTATCATTTTTACTCATGATATGACATTGTCCAGACATGCCCTGTAAGGAAACAGTGACAAAGGGAGCTTTTTGAGGCTAAATGCAGTGGATCCCTCTCTGGCTGGAATAAAAAAAAACAGCACAGGTCACAAGAACACATGTACCAGTTGTTGCATTGCAGAGGTATTCCAGTATAAAACAATGATAAACACACCTGCAATGTTTTGGTTCTATAACATTTTTCTCTTATTGTTTTATTATAGAATAGATGGATGAGTTTTTAAGTGTGGATAATTAAATAATAGTTTATTGCAATAGTAAATTGTGCCTCAGATGGACAGCAAGTGGAGAGTGATAAATGAGATGAGGAGATGGGAGGAAGAAGAGAGGCAAAGAGTGATTCATAGGCAGAGCCTAGTTTGTTTCTCACAGTTTTGTTGCCTTATGGTTGCTGACATGGCACTTTCACCAGTCTTTTTATTATTATCTCATAGCATTTGTTTAATCAGCTACCATCTCTCCTATGGACTTTTTACAGTCTCCAGTCGCAGCTCAACACAGCCCGTTCCTCCTGCACTATCAGGAGCAGGATCAGCAGAAACTCCTCAACAGCAACATTGTACCCCATCAGGTAAAACAGTGATATAGTATGATGCGATTCTGTATTAGATTCTTAAAGAATGTGTGTTGTTGTTCAGCCTGG